AATAAAAATTGTGCATAAGTTAACGAGTAATCTTCTAAGTGTTATACCATTTTGGAATCCTTATTAAATGCGCCAACTTTTAAGGTTACTTGCCAAACTCTCGTAGTACATTTTTTCCAGTACAGCCAGTTAAAGTTGAGCAAAGTTTTACTTTGTAATACTTGGTTGGGAAATAAGTGGCAATTTTTCCTGAACGAGAAAAGTTGGCAGTAAGGTTGAGACACCAGTTTGAAGATGCATTATTCATCATTACATTGTAAAAATAAAATCCAAAAAAAGTTAATATTTGTAGTAACAGGAGTTGACAGACTGCCGTAGGGTGTTAAATTTCTATATTTTTTTCAAAGACCTATAATATTCAAAACACATACATAAAATTTTTTTAAATATTTTTCTGATAGCTGTTATGACTTTGCCTATCACCCGGTTTCGGCTTGACGTCGACTTCTGGGACACCCTGTATAGTTTGTTAAAATGTAGGTTCAATCAACTGGGCAAGAATACTTGATAGATATAAGCATGTCTCCTGTGTTTACAAGAATTTGTTATACGTTTATGTATCTTTTATCCATCTTATACTTTTGATTATACAGGATGGGCCATGAATTAGTTAAAATTTGAAAAAATCGTATGAAAAACACATTTGACATATTTATTTTAAAAATTCTTTATTCACAAGAAAGCTAATTAGTTGGAATTCATTTCTTGAAAATTATATCGTCTAAATGACCACCGTTACGATTTTTGCAGTCTTCTAAACGTGTACCGAAGTTTTCGAATACTCGTCGGCATAAAGACTGCGAGATCGCCGGCATCTCTTCGTTGATGTTTTCTTTTAGTTGATGGAGTGTACTTGGTTTATTGATATAGACACGACTCTTTAAATAACCCCATAAAAAAAGTCGGGTGGGGATAGATCTGGACTTCTGGGTGGCCATGGGATGTCGCCTCGTCTGGAAATGAGCTTTTCCGGAAAGATTTCTTTGACCACCGGCAGGGACTTGTTGGATGTGTGACACGTGGCTCCATCTTGTTGAAGCTACATGTTACGATTATAGCCAGCAAATTCCAGTAGCATCGGTGCCAAGGACTCCCGTAACATTTTCACATACCCAGCAGAATTAACAATAACTGAATGGCCGCGAGAATCTTCGAAGAAGTAAGGGCCAATGATTCCTTTTGCTGAAATTGCAGCCCATACAGTTACTTTAGTAAAGTGGCTTCTCGAGTTTAGCTTTGGGATTTTCGCTGCTCCAGTACCTGCAATTCTGTTTATTCACATGTCCGTTGAGGTGGAAATGGGCTTCGTCAGAAAATAAGAGATTGTCAAAATTACTGAATCGAGCTAACATCGTTTCGGCTTTCGACTGGCGCAAATTTAAATCATTAGGTTTTAGTTCCTGCACTATCTGGGTCTTATATGGATGTAATTTCAAATCTAATCTCAAAATACGGCGTAATGATGTGCGGGATAATCCTAAATCAGCCGAACGTTTGCGCGTCGATAAATCTGGATCACGTTGAACAGAAGCGGAAACTTGCTGCACGTTCTCTTCGCTCCGTGCAGTTCGTGGGCCGCCGGTTTGCTTCACATTCAGTGTAGATCCCGTCTCTTCGAACTTCTTCACCCAAATCTTTATCAAAGGGACACTCGGGCACTGGCTTAAGTCGTGTAAATTATATTCAACGCGAAGTAAGCGTCTCACAGTAATGAGCGAACTGTTGTTTAAAGCATCCCACAAACCGGCGCGAAATATTCGCTTTGGCTGCGAAAATTTCGCGGCGATGCATTCGCGATCAGATTAAAACGCGGCGGTTTACGGACAGGCTCAGACTTGTGCGAAGCGAATGCGATTGTTCCAGCGTTTTTATCGCGGCGTATTTCAGTTCGCCTTTGACCGCGTTTTTGACGCCGTTCTTCAAAAATTCGCAATGGCAAAAACGGAATTATTGATAGAAATAGTGAAAAAGTATCCTTGTTTGTATGATTTGTCGAACGATGAATACAGGAATGTGAGAAAGAAAGACAAGATTTGGATGGAAATAGGAAAAGAATTAAATACAAATGGTATGTACCTAATATTTTTTATTAACTTGTTAAATAATTTACAGTCTACACAAATGTGAAAACGAACATTCTATATATTGGGCATAGGCATATCAGAATTAAAATAATTTACGAATTTGTCACGAGTAGAAAATGCTAGCCTTGCTGCCCGCCGAGGATCATTTGCTATATCAGTAAAAGCTCCAAGCACGGGTTCTGGGGTATCTAAGAATTGAAAATATTTGTCATCGCCACTTTTACTTCGTAAAAAATTGTGTAAAACCCATGCCGTACGTACAATTAGAATAGTAGTATCTACTTTAGTTTCTAATGGCCTGTAAAATATTCGCCATTTTTGACACAAAATACCAAACGCATTTTCCACGACCCTTCTAGCTCGACAAAGTCTTACATTGTACATATTTCTCTTTTCTGACGTCTGTTAAAGTCTGCTTATAAGGAAATGGTCTCATAAGGTATGGTTTTAAAGCAAATGCTTCATCACCAATTAAGACGTACGAGCAGATTTCATTTTGCCCAGGGAGAAATCTAGGTGCAGGGACACTCATTAAATTTTGTTCAAATCGTTTTCCCATGTTTGAGGTTTCGAAAATACCCCCATCACTATTTTTTCCGAAACCACCAATATCAACACATATAAATTTATAGTCCGGGCCAACAATGGCCATAAGTACTATTGAATATTTATGTAAATAGCACCAGTAATTGGAGCCACTGTTGTTAGGTCTCTTGATTGTTACATGTTTACCGTCCACGCTGCCAATGCAATTGGGAAATCCCCATCTATTTTCAAATTCTTCGGCACATTTTTTCCATATATTCTCTGTTGGTTCTGGTAAATATATATGCTCCATATGTCTGCATATCGCTTCACAGACTTCGGTTACGATTGCACTCACTGTTGTAAAGCCAACTCGAAAGCTATGCCCAATGGTATAGAAGGTGTCACCAGTGGCAAGGAATCTATAAAAAAATCGTTTTTAGGTGATGAAGTAAAAAAAAGGTGGAAGAATATCAGAGACACATTTGCAAAATATATAAAATCTACCAAACCAAAGACCGGCCAAGCAGTGGGCAACATAAAAAAATGGCAGTGGGCTGACTACATGGAATTTTTCCGTCCTTTTTTGGCATTTGCCAAAACGTCGTCTAATGTGAAAGATATTGACGTCATACATTATGAGACTGCCGAATTTAACTCAAATATATATCAGGAAAGGGCTGGAAATGTAGAAACCGAAAATTTGGAAGACCGCGGCCATGGAGAAGATGAAAATGCTGATGTAGATGCAGAAGATGCACAGAACGCCTCGGCAACACAGACAGCACCACCTTTTTCTTTGAACACTGCAGCAGTGACTACTCCAGGGCACACCTTTCCGCAGACTGCAACTACACCAAAATATAAAACGAGCAGAAAACGCTATGAACCACCATCTTCGTCTGTACAACAGCTCATTAATTATTTTGAAGGTAAAAAACCTAAAAAAGAGAACGAGGCCATTGATTCACTTTTCTTGGCACATGCACAGTCTGTGAAAACACTTCCCTTAAAGCGTCAAGCCCGAATAAAACTAAAAATAGCCGAATTAATAGCGCACGAAGAATTTGAACATATTGAAGAAATGTCTTCAGCGTCTACCCAGAATTCTGCAAGTATGTATGATAGTAGTATGTCGTCCTTCCCAAGCGGCACTGGGTTTACTCCAATAATATACCCAACAGAGGAGGCAAATTCTGCCTCGAATTATTTAAAAACATTTAATCCTAGTGGCAACATGTAGTCCAATTATTACAATAAAATATTTATTTCACGATCCCTGAAGTTTTCGTATTCGATAAGCCTACTAATTTTAATACATATAATTTTTTTACCTGAGTGTAATAGCAAGTCGTTCTTCTGGCGAAATAGCTTCACGATAATTTGTGTCAGATTTTCGTATTTCATCTTTCACCAAGTTCAATATTTCATCGAAACACTCTGGAGTCATTCTAAAATATACGTAAAAGCGCTGTTCATCCAGCCGAAGTTGAGGCATCAAGGTATGGTATTCCCCAAATTTATTTCGTTCCAAGTTAATATCATGTACCCACTTCCTTCGTTTCCTAAACAAAATTGAAAATATTTGTTTTATGTACTTCGTTAAACTTAATATATACCCAACTATCAAATGGCGTTAAATAAACATAACTTACCGTGCATTTTGTTCCTCTTCTAAAGCAAGAAATAGAAGTGCCTCCTCTTCTTCTGAAGACGAGCTCATTGCAAAAGGCAAAAATAAAATGTACGCAACCTGTCGAAACCTTCACGCTCGCGGAGCGAAAGACGCTTTGGTATGAATAAACAGGCGAAACAGATTGCGAATTTCGCTCTGAATTTCGTTGCGAATACTTCGCCGCGATTATTTCGCGCCGGTTTATGGGATGCTTAAATAAAATTGTTTCACACAGTAAGCGCGTTGCGGTCCGAGAAACGAGCTAGCGACTAGCCCCCTCCCCGCGCTTCGCGCGGGTTGTTTGCGTGGTGTATTAGATTTAAATGTTAACTAGTTCTTGGTCCACCCTGTATAATATGCATACATATGAATGATTCTCTCAATCTAATAATAGCACAGACCTTATAAGGGTTATTTTTTTTTCACACCTTATTTATATCATCCGCTTAAATTGGGCATTATGATATTTAATTTTTCTGAAAAATAATTCCCTCTTCCATGCTTTGGGCCGCCAACACTGCTGTTATCAAAATGCTAAATAGATACGGCCAGCATAGAAAAATCTTTCTGACACTTATGACAGCTTGTGATGACTGTTACAGCCTATTGCCTCCCTTGAACCTCCTTTTGGTCAAATGATATAATATTATTTGTTTAAACTACATGAATAAATTGCTGCTGGCATATCTGTAGCTTCTCGAACATTTTTGTTACAGCTCTCGTGGGTTCATTCGCGATGGGCACCACCTTCTTCGTGTCGCCGGTCTCCGGCGTATTGACTGACTGGATAGGAATCCGACAGACCACCTTCCTGGGAGGCGCGTTTGCATCCGCAGGCATGCTGCTGAGCAGCTTTTTCTCCGATGACGTTGCCGCCCTATGCGTCACCTACGGCGCTATGTACGGCCTGGGCGGAGCGCTAGCATACACACCGTCGTTGGCCGTACTCGGGCACTACTTTGGGCGGTACCTGGGCATTGTGAATGGGTTCGTCACGGCGGGCAGTTCAGCGTTCACGATAGCGATGCCTTACTTCATGGACATGCTGATCAGGACCACTGGGGTGGGTAGGTTCTAGCAATAAGTACCGCACGGTTATTTCAGGCACACAGTTTGGACACCAACATGAGAATATGACGATACACAAAATGATCTGAAAAGAAGTATTCAACAGTTTGTTAACTTTCTGTCGTACGATGTCGTAGATAATACAATGTGCCTGTACAGGGTGGTCAACTAAGAATGCTAGGTACTGTATCTGGGAACCTAGCCATCGTAGAGGCTTGCTGCAAAAAAAGTTATTACTAAAACATACAAGAGAAGAACCTGGCAAATATTTTAAATTCAAGATTGCAGTTACGCGCCCTAGCGACCATTTCAGAAATTTGAAAATATCTTCCAGGTTTTTCTCTAGCCCGTTTTAATAGTAACTGTTTTTGCCCAAGCCTCTACGATGGATAGGTTCCCAGTTACAGTACCTCGCATTCTTAGTTGGTCGCTCTGTACCAATGAACTGTCAACACTGATGGAACAGGCGTAACGCACATTCATTGCGGCTAGAATGAGAAACGAGGAGGATAGCGCTAGTCAGGGCAAAACATTGGCAAAACATCGTGGTCCATTGTGGTATTTCCATATATGTTCTAAGGATTTTTGGTGAATGTTTGTTTTTAGTGACGTTAAAGATTAATAGTGATAGTTTGCGACAATTATTATAAACATTTTTATGCCTGACAGTCTTCAGGAGCTGTTGTTTTATGTCATATTTGTTTAACCTTCCTAAACCCGAGCGGGGTGCAGTTGCACCCCAGACATCAATTTTTGGTGTTATTTTCTAAGATATTTTTTTTTTATTTAATTTCCTTTGAGTTATGTTTCTCAAATATGTTTCTAATATAGTATAAAAAATTTTAAACAATTTGTGATTTATTGTAACAAGTTATAGTGAGTTTTGTTCCTTGGGGTGCAGCTGCACCCCGCTCGGTATGTAACTATAGGTAAATATTTTGCATACGCTGAATACTAACTGGGGTATAAATAAACCCCAAATTTTTCAAACGACGGAGATTCCCCGTATCGTGACGGCAACACTGTCGGGGAATCCCAATAGCGGCTATGTATAACGTGTCCACGCAATTATCGCATTATAATCTTAGGTTTCGTGTGTGTCGTTACGTTTGTAGTGATTGTCGCCTACGCGCTTATAAAAATGAGTGAACCACCGAAATTTCGAAATGAAAATAAGCTAACAGACGAAGAACTATTGGCGATATTAGAAACGGATATTTACGACCATTATTTTAATGATTCGATACTAGAAAATGGTTCAAGTGATATCGAAGAGACTGATATAGTGACTGAAACTAATGAGATAGATGATGTTTTGCAAGTTAGTGATAGTGAGAAAGATTTGCAGATTCTTCAGCTGTAGTTGGCCAATCAATAACTTATACAGAAAATCCAACTTATACTTCTAAAGATGGTAGTGTGTGGGCAAAAGTTCCACTTACTGCGAGGACAAAGAGAAGAAAATGTAATATACAAACTGGTCCAACAGGTTTGACGAGATATAGCTCCCAATTTTCCAGCATAAAAGAATCCTTTGAACTATTTTTTTCACAAGATATTATGAATGTGGTTTTATCGGAGACGAATAGAAAAGCCGAATCATATTATGCAAGAAATGGGAAGGCTTTTTCTCATTTTGTGCAAGAGGAACTGGAAGCATTTATTGGTTTGCTTATTATTTTTGGAGCCTGGCATGCTGCTAAAGAGCCAATATGCGTATTATGCAGCCAAGACCCAACTTTATGTCGACCTTTGGTATCATCTACTATGTCTCGCAACAGATTCCAACAAATTATGTGCTTTCTAAGATTCGACAATTTTGAAACAACAGAAGAAAGAAAACGCACTGATAAATTTGCCGCAATCAGAGATGTCTTTGATGTTTTTGTATCTAATTGCAAGAAATCTTTAAATCCATCTGAACACTTGTGCGTGGATGAGCAGTTAGTTCCGTTCCGAGGCAGGGCTCCTTTTCGGGTTTACATGGAGAATAAGCCGGACAAATATGGATTAAAAATTTGGGCCTTGGCTGATTGTAGTTTGGCGTATACAGTGAATATGCAAATTTATTTAGGTAAGCTATGTCCTAGAACATGCAGATATTATAGATTTCAAAATTTTAGGCAAAGAAGGAAACAAACCAGAGAAAGGTCAAGGTCAAAGGGTAGTGTTAGACCTGGTAAACCATTTATCTACAGGATATGGGATAACTACTGATAACTTTTTTACCAGTATTGAGTTGGCCAATAAGCTCTTAGATAAAAACATTACCTTGTGTGGAACACTGCGTAAAAATAAACCTTATATTCCAAAAGAACTACTTCCAGCAAAATACAAGAAAGATTTTTCAAGCATGTTTGCTTTTATGGAAAATAAAACATTAGTTTCTTACGTACCAAAGAAAAATGCGGCAGTTATCCTTTTATCAACAGAACATAACGATGACAGAATAAGTGGAGAGGAATGTGACTATAAACCGGACATCATTTTACACAACAAAACTAAGGGTGCAGTAGATACAACAGATAAATTGGCAAAAGAATTTACCACTCAAAGAAAAAGTAATCGATGGCCGATGGTAATATTTTTTCATCTGCTGGATATTGGTGGCATCAACGCCTATAAACTATGGATGTTGAAAAATTCAGATTGGAAAAAAATCGTTTAGATAGGAGAAGAATGTTTCTGTTGTTGGGCCAAGAATTAATTAAGAAGAATATAATTCGTAGATACCATAATGACAAGTCGTTACATTCCAATATAAAACAATCCATATTAACAATTTTGCCAGAATTAAATATTGTAAGGAATGAAACACCTGCTCCCGCTATTCGGAGACAGCAGCGATATTTTTTATGCGACAGAAGTAAAGACAGGAAATCTCGAAAGTTTTGTATTCGGTGTAATCAGTATGTATGTGCAGAACATTCTAAAAATATAACCGTTTGTAATAAGTGTGATAATTAAATTATTATTTAAAATATCACATATTTATCTTCTTCTTAATTATCTTTCTTTATATTATAATCATTTCAAATTATTTTTTCCAAATGTGTTTGTTTATCAATGTTATAGCATACTTATGTAAAAATATATATTTTTTATAATCAGAATGTTTATTTTTTGAAAATCTTTAATTACAGTAATTAAATAAGCCAGAAAAACGTTGGGGTACATTTGCACCCCACTCGGTATTTAACGTAAATTTCTGACCACGGGTTTATGAAGGTTAAAAATGGTTGAATCTTGCAGTGCGGTGAATTGTTGCAAAAGACGCAGAAAAGATGTGAAAATGAAATTTCACAGGTCAGTTTTAATCATCTCATTCATTTTTGTGTGAGAATTACCTGTTAATTGGTAATTCGAGAAAATATCTGAATTTTTAGGATACCTACAGATCCTAACATGAGGAAGTTGCGGTTACATGCTATAAGAAGAGAAAACTTTACTCTCACTACAACAACGGTCATTTGTGAAAAGCATTTCACTCCAGAGGATTATGAAGTTAGTGTTCATGGAAATAAGGTACTAAAAAAGGTGGCAGTTCCATCTGTGTTTGATTTTCCAGCCCATCTCAAGAAAGAACCTAGCCATCGAAGGGTTTTGAAAAGAAAACATGAATACATAATTTCTAGAATGAACCATGGTATAACCTATATTGTATTATAATGAAAAACTGTATTGTTAATGCCATTGCGCACAAATACTTTGTATACATATATATATATATATAACGGGTGGTCCATTTAATTTTTTTTTAAAAATGCTATACAAAAAAATAATAAATATTTTTCCAAAATATTTTTTTTATTTGAAAGTACAATCCTTCCGATTAAGTATGGAATACAACTTCATTTAAATGACTGCCGCGGCTGGCTTTGCAGTAGCCCATACGGTCAGTCCAATTTTTGACCACATTTTCAATCGTATGTGGCTGTATTTCAGCAATGGCAGCGCGTATGTTCTCTTTTATTTCGCCAATTGTTGCTGGTTTGTTGGCATAACATTGGTCTTTAATGGCACCCCATAAATAATAATCTAAAGGGGTCAAATCACAGCTCCGAGGCGGCCAAACAACATCAGAATTTCGGCTGATAATGCGATCACCGAATACACTTCGCAGAAGAGCAATCGTAGCGTTTGCTGTGTGACACGGAGCACCGTATTGTTGAAACCAGACGTTACCGACATCAATATCTTGAATTTGTGGAAAGAAAAATTCATTTATCATGGCACGGTAACGCTCACCATTCACAGTAACTGCTGCTCCGGCTTCATTTTCAAAGAACAATGGGCCAATGATGCCACCAGCCCAAAATCCGCACCAAACAGTCACTCGTTCTGGATTCATTGGCTTTTCTTCGATTGCGTGTGGGTTCTCTGAACCCCAAATGCGGCAGTTTTGCTTATTAACATAGCCGCCAAGATGAAAATGCGCTTCATCTGAAAAGATGATTTTTCGACCAAAATCAACATCTTCATCAAGTTGTTTGCAGGCCCATGAAGCGAAGCGAAAACGCATTGCATGGTCAGTTGGCTTCAATTGCTGAACCAATTGAACTTTGTACGCCTTCATACCAAGGTCTTTATGCAAAATTCGACCTAATGATGTGCGTGAAATGTTCAATTGTTGAGAACGTTGGCGCGTTGATGTGCTTGGAGACTCTGCCACACTCTCAGCTACAGCATCGATATTCTCGGGTGTACGCACCGTTTTCGGTCTTTCACGTGTTGGTTTGTCAATAAGAAGACCAGTTTCATGAACTTTTTGCACAAAATACCTCACATACGGTGCTGACGGTGCTTTATTTCTTCCCATTTTTGCACGTAGTTTTCGGACACAATCTGCAACATTACCACCACTTTCGAAATATTGTTTTAATATTTCCCAGCGTGGTTCAAGCGAATACACAACCATTTTCGTTAATCGGAATGATATGACTGATGTTCTGTCAAATCAGATGCGAAATAAGTCTTGACATATCCCAAAAAACC